GGAGGGAGGGGAGAGAGAGAGAGAGAGAGAGAGAGAGAGAGAGAGAGAGAGAGAGAGAGACATAACTCAAAAACTAACAAAAAGTGTCGTATGTTTGGGATTCACAAGTCCTTCTTCAGCGATTCTTACAGATATTTGTGTCGTTGGATTGATAACATTCTCTTATGATGTGTGACGATGCAATACAGTGCCGATATAATGATTATAATTTGGATCCATTTTCCTGTTCTCAATACGAGTGTACTTATTGTCTAGAGTTAGATAATTAGTTGTCCTCAAAAAAATAGTCAATGAAATAAAATAAAATAAATTAAAATGAATAATTAAGTTATGGAATTTAATAATTAAGTTAAGGATAATACGTCAAACTTGATGAACATTGAATTTAATAACTTACAAGAGTATGTGAGACAGGACCATCGTTACAAGTTCGTCCGATCGAGTTGAACGCAGATGTTACAATGATAAAACGCAAAGTATAATAATGGAAATTCTGAGTACTAAGGTTAACATTTATTTGTTTGTGTGTGAGACTCTGTTTCAATACGTAATAATAAGACTCATCAGGATTGTCCGTGTCTTTTTGTGAGTTAATACCATTGTTTTGTTTTTCAATATGTAGCATTTCTGAGATTCTTCTTTTATGGTAGTTTATTTCAATATCTAGACTTGTAATACCTTCCTAATCTCGAAATCATGATTATATTTCAATCTGTAGTCTGAAATGACAATATGTCTAGAGGAGTTATGCTTTATGTTATTTCTATGTTCATTTACACGGGTTTTGAGTTTTTTTTGTTTGTCCTATATAAGACGCTGTATAATCTTTACAATCGACTTTGTAAATAACATTCTGATTTTGAAATTTATTTAATTTATTTTTATATATATATATGAACTTTGATGAAAGAAAATAAAGCATTCAATATATTCTGTAGCAGATTGTGAAGATTGATTTATTAAAAAAAGAATTGAATAAGAAACTTTAGGTATGAACGGTACAACAAATAATTTTTTCTTATTACTATTGTTGTTCTGATTGTTAGAACTCATATTATCAGCGTTTTGTGTGTTTAGTTTATCATGTACCATTCTTTTAATTCTTTTGATGAGTCTTATTATTATTTATTGAAACAGAGTCTAACAAATTAAAGCTAACCTTAGTGCTCAGAGTTTCCATTATTATACTTTGCGTTTTGTCATTGTAATATTTCGTTCAATATATATACATATTGTTTTGTAACATCTGCGTTCAACTTGATTGGACGAACTTGTAACGATGGTCCTGTCTCACATGCTTTTGTAAGTTATTAAATTCTATATTCATCAAGTTTGACGTATTATCCTTAACTTAATTATTAAATTCTGTAACTTAATTATTCATTTCAATTTATTTTATTTTATCTTATTGACTATTTTATTGACGACAACTAATTATATAACTGTAGACAATACACTCGCATTGAGAACAGGAAAATTGATCCAAATTATAATCATTGTATCGGCATTGTATTGCATCGTCACAAATCATAAAAGAATGTTATCAATCCAACGACACAAATATCTGTAAGAATCGCTGAAGAAGGACTTGTGAATCCCAAACGTACGACACTTTTTGTTAGTTTTTGAGTTATGTTTCTCTCTCTCTCTCTCTCTCTCTCTCTCTCTCTCTCTCTCTCTCTCTCTCTCTCTTTTTTATATTATAAAATTTAAGAACAATCATTATTAAATCTCCATTTAGCTCGATGTAGATCATTTATTTGCATTGCAAAAAACGAGCAAAATTTATTAATAAATAAATGTTTATTTCATATGATATACAAAATTAACAAAATAATGGCTTGACATTCATTGGTACTAGAAAATACCACCGAATCCAGAACCAGATTTACCAGACGATATTAAGCATCTTGCTATGGAGAAGTGGATGTTGGAATTAAATCGTTCGGAGCCAAATATTTTTACAATTGATGATAATAATATGACATCATTTATCGATCTTAAAGCAAGATTTTTGCAACAAATGTATGCAGTGAATACAATGATAACAGTGGAAGTTATCGTAAGGTATTTAAAAAAATATATCTTTTTTAATATATCTTTATTATATATGTATTTTAAAAAATTACTAAATATAATTTTATTTCTAACTCTGCAGGAATTCTTACTTTAGTATCATTGAATTTTCTAATGCATCGATAACAGTCAGTGGAGGTTATAATGCTGAGATTCCAATTGATGAGATTCAACAACCAGAACTTATTTTTCAAGCAAAAGAAACGAAAAAATTTTACTTTAACTTTAGAGCTCCTCGTCAAAATGATGGTGTAGAAATTCGTATTAGCACAGTTTCTTTACAAATGGGTGATAGCGCGCATTGTTGTATTATGTTGAGATTCTCAGCTATGGGTAGAGAAACAAATTTATTAGATCGTTTGTATCCTGAAATACAACAACTTCGGTATATCTATAGAATTTTAAAGTTCCACTTTTAGTATTTATTAGTCATTTGACAAAAAAAATTAATACAATTTTTATTTGTGATAGTGGAGGCGAATTTGAGGCAATAAGACCATTAATTCACGCAGAGATTAAACAGGAAGAATCAAGTTTAAATCTAGATGCAAAATCCAATAATCCTGCCCTTTTAGGCGAGTGGCTACCCATCATGATATCCTTATTAGCTAATGAGAATGTTAATGCAGTCTGTTTATATGTAATACTTGTATCAGATAGTAGCAGCAATGAGCAATCAAGTATGTTTTCACGTTTTTAGCATTTTTTTTTTCTTTATAAATGATCATTTTTTAAAATCTTATATCATTTTTTATCACTTAAACTGTTCTATCATGTATTTCAGCTGAATTAAGTATTAATATGCTTAGTAAAGAGTCAAAATTATCTATTATTGTTGGTGATATGATGAAAGGCACTTTGGCCAAACATATTGTGTATATTAGAGCACATAAAATAGGTGATAGAAATATCATAATAAAGGTATTTATACATAATTATCTCAATAAATTAATATATCAAATATATTATAGTTGTATAATATTATAATTTATCATGATTATATATAACAGGCAGACTATACTAGACCCGAACAAATTAGAGGTAGTAAAGAATTAACATATTCATTGGCGGTTAAGAAACCATTTGAAGTTGCAACACAATTTTATACTACACTGTTTGAACCACTAACAAAAGGTTTTGTTAACGAACCTTTTATTATTATGCCTCATATTACCTGTGTTTCTCCATGGCCTATAAACATTCTAAGTACATCTATAGAATTGGTAAGTCTTCATAGAGTATATGTATCGAGTTGTCCAAAAAGTCCATACAGATTTTCAAGCAAAACTAAAATTTAAGCTATTTGAACTAAAAAATTGTTTAGTTAAAAATAATTGTAATTTGTAAAAATGTCATTTTATTTCACAATATTTTTCCATCTTTCGGATAATTTCATAGTTTCTCTCTCGTAGAAGTTTAAAAATTTTTAATGTTATCTAAGAAATTCACATAGATTTTTCAGACAATCCAAAATATAATTTAATTATCTCTATAAGTTTGTGTTAAGAACATTGTAATAAACTTAAGCTGGAAATTAGGCAGATTCCATTCAAAAAGAGAATAATCTTGACAATCAGGAGTCCATTTTAACGGGTGTTAAACTCTGTGATGGTGAGACAGGAACTGATGCCTATTGCTTGATTCCAAAGATAGGTGGCGAGTTGCCAATTAGTATTGGAGTATACACTATTAAATGGAAAAGGTAAAAATTGGTAGAGATTATAACATAAGAAATGCAGTCTGTAATCTTCGTTATTTTCACAGAGCAAATGATGAAACCGCGTTGGAAACTAGTAGTAGCGTAACCTTAGCTCCTTTATGGGTCGAAGATGCGGTAATCGGACTGGAAACCAAAATGCCAGCCCATGGATGGGTTCGCACGCCGTTCTGTATATCATATTTTATAAAAAATCATTCTGATTACCTCATCACTTTGCGCTTAGCTATGGAAGGCAGTGATGCATTTATGTTTGCTGGGCAAAAACAAGTACGTTTCACGCTTGCATTTTATACGAAGTACATAATGATCTTATTAAATATCTTTTTAGGTTGATACTTACATATTGCCTAGGAATATTCGAAGAGTTGATTGGGTTTTACGACCGCTAGTCGCTGGATTCGTGGCTCTTCCAACATTGTCGCTAACTGTACCTGCAGGTAATAATATCTACTATATTGAACAATTTAAAGATTTTATATTTGTATTTATAGTTGATACATCACAATTGTAATATACAGATGAGGAACACAAGTTGGGTAAAGGACAACTATCAGAAATGATTGAACGTTCTTTGCCGAGTCATATATATATACTGGTAAGAAAAAAATATAAAATAATAAAATGCAATGCTTTAATAATGCTATTTTGTAATATATATATATATATGTGTTTTTTATGTTTGTACAGCCAAAATCGCAGTCTTTAGGAGAATAAATAAATTTGACATTGGGATCTCTTATTTAAAAAAAAATATTATCTTAGCTTAATTAAAATGTATTATAATAACAAATTTTGCATAGACATTTATATATATGTGTATCATATTAGAATTATAAATATAAATTTTCTTGGATATAATTTATTTAAAATATTTTATTATTGTATTTTAAAATTAAACGTTCTAAGATTATACAATATTGTTGATTTTTAACAGACATTCACTAATAAGGCCGGAATCAGACTACGCATTGAAGATTGAGATTGAAGATTGAAAGATTGAAATTTGGCCAATCAAAATAATAGGAGCTAAAGTTTCTCTATCCTCATTGGTTAAAGGAATCTTAGCTCCTATTATTTTGATTGGCCAAATTTCAATCTTTAATCTCAATCTTCAATGCGTAGTCTGATTCCAGCCTAAATGATAGCAATTACATTACTATGCGTCATAGTTCATAATAGTTCATATACATATCGATCGTTTTTAGATGTATTGAAGAACATTGCGTTACACTAGTAACGCGTTACCATGGAAACCGTGTAATCTACACTCTAGTGGTATTAGTAAACATATATTTTTCTTTATTTTCTGTTCCTCAATTAAAAAATAATTTAAGTCAATTCCAATTCTAAAAGCATTAATTACTATTGACAATTATACTCGCATATAGTGGACTGCAACAATTTAGTGAAATGGCGAGGAGCAGCAATATAGATATTGAAAGTGTTTTTGATGAATACCTGCGAAAAGAACAGCAATTTGAACAAGAAATAGAAGAACGGTACATTTATAATGAAATTTATTATTTGCTAATATAGGAATACATGCATGTGTATAACTTTCTTCTAATCAACAAAAAATTATTATTTCTCATTTTATTTCGCAGCAATAAATTACGTCGCAACAGGAATATTTTCAAAGTTTCTAACTCATCGCCAACAAATCTACCTTTAAATTTGGAAAAATCTCGTATTCGTAATCAGGCTCTTTTAAAGGTTTGCTATAGCATATTTTTTAAATAGACAGGTATGAAAAAAATATTAAAAGCAAATTTCAGTGTATGATATATTGAATATAGAATGTGCAAACTCTGTATGTTGGACAAGCTGCTTACTTTGAAGTAATTTTACTGATAAGATCATATGTTACTCAATGTTATCTATCGTTGTGTTACAATTTTTTACAATTGGAAGGAATTTTGTCATAAAGTCACTTTAAATAGCCTATATTCAGAATAGAATTTTACAAATAAAAATACAATCAGAATACATATGTATATTAAAATACATAAAATTAGTTAAAATTATAAATAGATTCTATTTTGAAATTTGACATGAATTATAAATTGTATAAAATGAATTTTGATTTGATAGTTTTCACTACAAATTATCATTACAATTTTTTAATTTAAAGACTTGATACTGCAAGATATGAGATGTTTATTGTGTATATGTATTGCATGATATATATATATACACATACACGTAAAAAATATTGTATACCAATAGATTTTAAATAAAAATTAGAAACTTACATATTATATTATTATGACAGGATTTGGAGATATCTAGAGCACGTCTGAGAACTTACGCTTCTTACACGCCTACGGATGCAGAATTACGGCAGATTTTGTTGGCCTATCGAAGTCATCTTTGCAAAAATATCCAAGACACGGAATCATGACAAACTTATTTCCGCATAATCAATTACTTGTCAGTGATCATTTCAACCTGATAACTCGAGCCGAACGAACAAACTTTGAAATGAAAAGTTTGTTGATCGTTGGGATCGATGGATCGGGTTGATTACTGCGTGGTCTATTTTATGACGTGGCTAACTCTTCGTGTGTCGAGCGTCGTGAGAACTAATCCATAAAATATGTGAATATTTTTTTGCGCACTTTTCTAGTAGTTCTGCCACAATCGGGTTCAAGTTATTATTGCGACAATAGCTACTATTTGTGTAAAGTAAAATAAAGCAGATTATTTAACAGACTGTTATATCTTATATTACGTACTTGAATCTATATTACCGTCACTCCTAAAATAATAATTATCACACCTGGTAACATATTATATTGTAACTCGAACAACGTTAACGTGTAATATCTAATATATTACAATACGAATATACTCACGGTTGACTTTTTACTTTCGGACGAAATATGAGCCGCAGACTGAAATCTAACGATACTAATTTGCGTTCTAATCTATCCGTTCAAAGGTCTCGAGAGACTTAATTATAAAGGCAAACGCGTTACTTTTTGAGGATAATCGCGTGGCGATTATTCGAGCTTACCGTATGATAGACTAACAGCTCGATAGATCTCCTCATCCAGCGTTATTCAAGAGCTTCTTCAATTGTGGAAAGATGTACAAGGAGGGTGCGCGTGAACAATAGTGGCGAACGATGTCCACCTGTACGCTCAGGCATGCCATATTCATATTTATTTTCTATGTACGGCGGTATTATCGCTGATAATTACCGGCGTGCACAACGTGCATACACGATAGGACGGCCACGTATCCAGAAATTTCCCGATAAGAAGTTCTGGTCAATAATAATTTGTTGGAAGAACTCGCGTTTATTTTAAGCTGTTGCTTTTTACACGCAACTCGCAAACGCGAATCCCGACATTTCGTTGAGTATTTATTTCACAGGCGTGACTCTTCGACGTTGAATTTGCCGGCAGATTAGATTTACGGTTTTATCGTCGGCCTCGTACACCGAAATGGCATTTCAGACTTCGGAAATGCGCAATTTATGCAAATTATCGTATAAGTCGCGCGTCCTTGTTCGTAACTTCACTTACCTTTCGTACCTTCGGAAAATACCTGAAAAACACACGTTAATTGCAAGCAACGTGTAAACGGTCTGTACATTGTAGAAAATTCAAAAAGACTGGAAAGCATCACGAATTGTGATGAATGCGTTTTCAGGGTTTAATTTTATATTTCCTACGTAGCATATAGCTGTATAGCAGCTGAGTAAATGGAATAAACGCTGTGACTTCTTACTTTGACTATTATACGATGTCCGCAACATCTGTATCAATAGCCCTATTATCTTGATATTGTATAATTTGTAACACTCTCCATGGATGTGTCCATAAATTAACGTTTTAATTAATTTAAATTGACTTTTTCGAAATCAAGATAAAATAAAAATTAGTGCATTTCTAGAAAAATCTAAATTTATAGATATGTAAACATATGGCTGAAGAGAACTTGCGAGTACAGATTGAAATTAATATCACGCTCGCGCTCTGATTGTGGATATAGTAAGAGTATACCTGGTTTATATTTGAAATATTATATCATAAACATCTGTAGTATCTGCACTTGTCGACTCACTCACTTGGATTTTTTTAAATCATTGTACATTATTTTTGCGACCTCGCGATGCCACAAAAATGTATGGCTCATTTTACGCATTTATCTATCTGGAGCGCGTGTTATGGATTACGCCTTCAAACTATTGAAAGGCATTTTATGGGATTGATATAGAATATCGTATTTTTCTTACGTTTGTTTGTCCGATTGTACGAGTTCAAGAAATGCGACTTCGTTGAATTCAACTACTTTTAGTTTCACATTAATGCATTATTGTCGCCGTTAGTGCTCATTGGATGATAGACGCGTAACGTTTGCTGTCCTTGGTACACGTAGACAAAGAAGTTCGAGAAAGGAATTAATTTTTTTAGTGGATTTTCTTCTTTGTAGCAATAAATAAAAAATACAAGTTTTATGTTACACATTATCAGTAAAAACAAAAACTCTGAAAAAAATAACATCTGCTTAACTTATATCGCACATTTCATTATATATACTAAAATAAAATTTATTTTATATATTTTAATAATGTAACGAAAGCTCAATTTTAAGATACAATATTTACCGCATTGAATATTAAAAGTTATATTGAGTAATTATTAATTTATTTCTTAAATAATTAATATTAAGGATGCAGGAATGATTGTGACTAGTATGGGTGGATTTTATTCTAATGCATATTGTGATGATTTTTATTTTCAATCAATCTATATTAGAATATTTCAGAACCCTTAAGTTTTTTAAGACAAAAATGTTTCAAACAAAAGTTCCTTAGTAAAATCTTTCTATGACCGTACAAATGATAAACACAAACAATTAAAAAGAAGGGAGCCAATAACGGTCAAAGCTGGATCACAGTGCTTATTATAATTATGTGTGAATTTTACATACTGCGTATATTATTGTCCTTCCATAAATCACGACGCTGATAGTATTTCAGCATTGACGCATACATACTTACTACCGCAGTAATATCACGAATTTAATTAACAATTTTTGATGCTCATAGCGTCATGGATCTTAATAGTGTTTTGAATGACATATTAAAATCTGAAGATAAATTAAAATTCCGTATTTAAAATTTTGTAAATAATTAAATCTTTAATTCTTATATATTGCGAAGAATATCACGTAATTTTGGCGTTTCGTTAAAAGTTCCTTAGTTATTAGGGAGAAAGAAGATCTCGGTTGAAGAAGAATGTGTTTAAGCTTAAATCAAGATAACCTAATTTTTTTAAATTAAAATTCTATTTAAATTTTCATTTCATACTCACGTGTAACTTCAAAATACTTTAATAAAGTATTTTTTCATTAAATAATTTACACGTTATGAGGCTTGGAAGTTAACAGATCAATGTTTAGTTAACTCGCTGTCTTAAAACAATTAAGTCTAAGAGAAGATGATGATCTTAGTTGACATATCCTCAAGCTTATGTTTCCTTTACCTCAAACTTAATTACTTTAAGATAAGTGTGTCGACTAAGCTTTAACCTGTTAACTTTTTAAGTTCCACAACTTGTAAAGTACTTAATGAAAATAGATACATTACAGTTTTGAAGAGTTTGATGCATGAATATATATAAAATAAAAGTTTCGATTTAAAAGATTTTAGATAATCCTTGATCTAACAAAGAGTTATTATGATTTTGCTTCTTAGAGAGTAATTGAGTAATTTTTGTCCGCGAAACATTTTTTATTTTAAACTTAAGGATTTTGAGATATTTTAGTTGATCGATTAAAATAGATCAGCCTATATGTATAAATTAAATTAACTTTAGAGATCAATTTTAAATAATTTATTAATTTTCACATAAAAACTAGATACTAGATGTTTGACAGAAATCGAAATTTGACATTTCATTGTAATTTAATACAATAATCCTATTTTATAATTATATTTTTAATTTATACACGTCTCCTTGATCGTTGCTTATCACAGTACTAATGCTTTTATATATATATATATATAATTCATTTTTGAAGTATAGAGCTTAAGGTTTAAAATTTAATAAATAAAATTACATATGTATACTTTTATATATGCGAATACAAGCATACATGTGTGTGTGTTGCACATAAATACAATATATATATTTCTGTTAATCTGTACATTTTAGATAAAGAATTTTAGATACCCACTTTTCACAAAATTATTTTAAGTAACTGAAAATTTATTACTACATGTATATAACTAAATAATATTATTATTAAATCTGTAAAAAGTTCTTGATTATAGGCGCAATTTTTTCAGGCTCATTCAAATGTACGTGATGTGTACCCGTCACCTCATGATACTCAAATTTCCTAGTTCCTACTTTTATGATGTCTAATATTTTTTGATAATTTTCAGGATTTTCAAATTTCATTCCAGGAATAGCACGTATATTGAGGTAAGCACATTTTATCTGAGATGCATATTCAAGTATTAAATCTAGAGATAATAGACCTAAAAGGGAAACCTACAAAAAACAAATAATTTTTAATAATATTACCACACTTTTTTGAAGCGTAAAAACATATAGTATTAGCTGTTGCTAATAAAACATATTACATAATTAAATTCACCTTCAATCTTGGATCACGAGAAAAATAATATTTGTCCTTTTTATGTGCTGGCTGCATACCACGTTTCATTAATATTTCTGCTCCATCCCTTGTTATAGAACCATCATATGCTTTTTCTACTATATCGAGCATTTCGTCATATTCATAAGATGGTATATTGTCCAATGTTAACAATTCATATTTCAAAAATCTGTCAATATATTCTCCAGTGGTTGCAGCTGTTTTCTTGACATCTCTTACACTCGGACTAGCAATATCCAAACTTATAAGAAAATCGACTTCATCTGGATATGATGCTGCATATAGAAATGATATAGCACCACCCAATGAGTGTCCAAGAAGTTTGACCTATTTTCATAATACAACCAAGTATAACAAACTTACATTAACTTAAGTAGATGTACACAACTTATATATAGTATATATTAAATATTATACAATATTTTATATATCTCTTATGTATTAGTTATTCTATATACATAAATATTAAACATAAAACATAATACTAGTAATGTTTGTTAAAATATTCACATTAACATAATTTTCACATACGCAAAAAAACTATATGGCATGCAGTATGCTTGAATGAAATATAAATATAAATGCAATTAAGTGTAAGCGCAAGGATGACTGTTAGATATGTATGAGAACATGTAAGCATCATATTGTAAAAGATTTTTATATTGATCTCAATTGTAAATAAAGTGAATTTTATCTACTCGCTAACCTTGTTCCAATTGAAATGTTTAATAATTCTACGAAGGAACATGACACCATCCCAATATACATAATAGAATTGACTGTTTGGGTAATGTGAAGATAAACCATGCCCCGGCATATCCAAGCAAAGAATAGAAACGTCATTCGACAACAATGGCATTAATGTATCAAAAGTGCCTGAATTATCTTGGCGACCATGTAGTGCCACTATTGGTTGGAGCTCACTAGGGCCCCACCATTTGCCTGCAGATAAGAATGCTGCAATTATTTTTTTATTTTATTTTCTATATTTTATGATATTTTAACAGAACACACATTTTGCTGTTATAAACTTGTAGAAATTTGTTAAATAAGAAGAAAAAATCCTACATGTTTTTAAAAATGCAACAAAGTTACAGCTGAGTTAAAAAGCTTTTTTTGTTTATTACTTGAGAATATAATGTAATACATAATAATATGCAGTTATACAACGATAACTTTGAATACCAAGGTTTTCTTAATCAAGCTATTATTTGCCCATTAAGAGTTTTAATATTTATATTATACATATATTATGCATACATAACAGTCAGCCTTTTTAAATATTTTTTTTATTAATTATGATATGACCAAGTGCAAGCAATGTGAATATTAAATAACGAATTTAATAACGTGTTATACCTCATGTTGGATGTAGCATATATATTTAAATTAAAAATACACGAATTAACTAATTAATAATGATACATAACATAAATGATTACATACTCCTTAAATTATGCTGTAATTGCATTTAACTTCTGCAAAATAAAGCATATAAAGCATATAAAGTTACAGCTGAGTTAAAAAGCTTTTTTTGTTCATTACTTGAGAATATAATGTAATACATAATAATATGCAGTTATACAACGATAACTTTGAATACCAAGGTTTTCTTAATCAAGCTATTATTTGCCCATTAAGAGTTTTAATATTTATATTATACATATATTATGCATACATAACAGTCAGCCTTTTTAAATATTTTTTTTATTAATTATGATATGACCAAGTGCAAGCAATGTGAATATTAAATAACGAATTTAATAACGTGTTATACCTCATGTTGGATGTAGCATATATATTTAAATTAAAAATACACGAATTAACTAATTAATAATGATACATAACATAAATGATTACATACTCCTTAAATTATGCTGTAATTGCATTTAACTTCTGCAAAATAAAGCATATAAAACCCATGCTCTTGTTTATTTCTCATATGTTACTATTATATTTATAATTTATAAAAAAAAACTTTAATCGTTGTATAACATTGACTCGCTGGCTAACCTTGTTCCACTTGTAATATTTAACAACTCTACGTAGCGCAAGAACCCCATCCCAAAATATATAGTAGAACTGTCCATGTGGTAGATGAGAGGAAATGCCATGACCAGGCAGATCTATACTTAGTATAGCTATGTTTGATAATAATTGTGCCAACTTGTCAAAAGTTCCCGAATTGTCCTGCCAGCCATGTATTGCCACTATAGGCTGCTTATCTGTCGGTCCCCACCATTTTCCTAAATTTATCAATACATTGAGTTTAATGTGAAATTTGGCTATTGAGAGCAACGTTAATCTAAGTATGTGTTTGTATCTTTGATGATTATATATATATATATATGATATGCGTTTGACATTCATATGACATCTGCCAAAGTCTGTTGATATTTATTGCTAATGCTATAGATTTTCAGCACTGATACTGAATATGGAAATGTAGCCTTTATATAAAGAATAAAATTATCTTGATATAATTTTATAATACAGGGCTGATGTAATTTACAATGTAACACGTAAGTCAGAAATGACAGACTGACCTCTAATATGTCCCCATGGCATAGGTATCTGTATTTCTTTGACATCTGTAAAAAATGATTTCCAATTATTGCGAGAAAAATTTTTTTTAACACGCCAGATGGTAGTATTAAAGAATTAACCTTCTTTCTTGTATCCATTCGTAGCACTCTCGACCGAGTTCTTTTTCTCCTTGGCATCCATGTCGACAACTGACGTTTACTTGAAATTCTTGAAAAACCCACGGATCCGAAGTGTTTCGTCAGTAACGCTGCGGAAGAAATTGCCGAATGAAAAGGAGATCTCACGGGCATAAATTTTGGGAAAGATGGATTTTTTTCAGTGAGCATGTGGCATGAGAGATCCATCGTCGAGATTTTTAGAAAACTTACATATTTTACGTAATTTTTGAAGCTTATGTGAATTGAAACTTGTAATCGCTGTGAATTCGTCTTCGAGAGAGAGAGAACGTTGCTCTCGTCACCTGTTTTTCTTCGAGCGCGACGATTTCGCAATCATCATTCCTTAAATATCGCTACCGATGACCGAGCACATATTCAAGAAGTCGATAAAGAAAGAGAGGCTATTCGTGTTAGTTTTTATCGAGTATAATCGTCAGTATTATTTGCTCAATAACTGTGTTTAAAAAATAACGGCGGAACTCACACGATTAACTTGACACATACCGAGACACTACTGTATATGTATATAATACCGAACGTACTCGCGTAAAGTAGACACACGCGGACACGCCACGAGCCACGAAACGAACCAATCGCGCATTCTAATGTTCAGAACATGTCGCGACCGTGATTTCTGCGTTTAGACTGGTTTAGACGCACGATTGGTCAGCTCTTTTATGCATTTTTAAATCGATTCATTTCCGCATTTCGAAAGAGATAGATAAAAAAATTAAGTAAAAGCGCGCGTATGTGTGTGTGTGTGAGAGAGAGAGAGAGAGAAAGACGAACAATCCCGTATAAATGATCGCAAAGGAATGCGATGTCGGTCGGCTGTTTATTCACCTATAGTCTATACTAGTGACCCTCTAATAGGTCACTAGTCTATACATGTATATAAAGGCTGTAATACACTCGAGAGTTTCAAATTATTTATTATATATTTTTAGATTTTACAATCATGCGCTATACAATGTGCTAGTCATGGATCGTTACGGCATACCCAGGCATACCTTTCCTCTTTTCACTCTCCTCGCGTCCTCGCCGACTATTGACACTTAATAATGATGAAACGTTTTTATAATTTTTGTAGCTGATTTACACTTTTATATAAAAAAATATATATGAATAATAAAAGATACATTAATAATAAAAGAGATACAAAATATTATATGAAGACGTTAAATAAATGCAGACATAAATGGCTGAAATTGTTGAAATCAACTACGAAATCGTATAGAAATGGAATAAAAATAACAAATATTATAATTAATAAGCAGCATAAATAATTTTTTATGCTGCTTAATTATAATATTTGTTATTTTAAAATCCATAGTATTATTTTAATATTAAAAGCATTAATGCTTTTAATATCAAAATACTGTGGATTTTAGAGATAATTAATAAAAATTAATGAAAAGTAATAAAAAATAAAAAACAAATACACATTTAATATTATTTTTATAAATTTATTCAGAGAAATTGAATATTGAATTATATACTGAAATATATTATATTATAAATTTTAAAGCTAATTTTTTAAAATGTGAAAAAATGTTAAGTAATGTAAAATTATAAAAATAAATAAATGACGTTAAGGGCGATATGAGTCAAAAAGATATTCGTTCATACAATAAAACATTTAATTAGTCAATACTTAATTTAGACATTGTTAACAATAATTCGGCTTTAAATAATTAATTAAATAAGATAATAAATAAAAATAAAAAATAGATAATAAATATAAACGTTACAAGTTTCGGCTCTCGAATTATTGTTAACAATGTCTAAATTAAGCATTGACTAATTAAATGTTTTATTGTATGAACAAATATCTTTTTGACTCATATCGCCCTTGACATTATTTATTTATTTTTATATAACGAGAGTCATTATTTCTCTCTCTTTTGTATTAATTGGTAAAATTATAAATAATATATAAAAAATAAATTTACTTTTTAACAGATAACGCAGCGATTTTATAATATATTTTTAAAAAGTTTATATAAACATGATTATTTTATTTATTATCATATACACCTATACTCTCTTCTCTGAGATATGTGTATTATAATGTTAATATATAGTTTATTTAGCACAAAATTTTATATATATAGATTTATTGATTAATGAAATAAAAAAGAATCGAAGATTTTTATCTATATTTTAGATTTTTGTAATTGGCTTTAATTGTTTACAGAAATATGAAAAAAAAGTTTAAATTATCATGTAATTTTTTAATCAATTCGTAATTCAGTGTGATTCATAAAAAAAATTCATGGAAAATTAGAACAAATTATACTTAAAGAAAAGTGAAAGATAAAAAATTCTTTATGAAAGTACATAATCGAATACATTCGAAAATATTTCACCCAAATGTGAAAGTTGTATTGCAAGGAAAAGGAATAAATTTTAATTTTATTAATTATTATTCTTAATATATATTTGTTCGCTAGGTGAGGCTGATATCTGCCGTAAAATTTCAACTAAAATTTGATTGACAGTGCATGTGTAAGTGTTGCATAATTATGGTATATTTTATGATAATTGTAGTTATAAAACAATAACAACAATAATATTGTAAGTTGTCTTAGAAAAATGTACCATCATTTATTCTATAGACAAGATTAAAGAATTGCTATATTGTTCTTTAAATAAATTTTTGAGGTTATGCATCAGTGTATTTTCTCATATATATTGCACTATTACTTAAAATTACTGTGACAGCTACGATGTGCGAGCATAGTCGTAATATTTTGTTGCTTAATAATTAAACATCAGAAAGGATCTGCTAAGAATAAAGTATTTATTTCTTAAATATTATTCATTATTTAGAATCTAAATACATAGATTATCATGAATGACGAGTATATTGTGAAAACTGTTCTTCATGCTGGATCAGAAAACATTAATTTCATATCAGGAACAAAGGTACGTATATCACTTGTGTTTTTTTTAATTATACAAGATATTTATTAATAAAATTTGTTATGAACAATTATTCATAATTGGTTTTATTTTAGGTTGTATTTCACTTTAGAACTACAAAATGTGATTTTGACAAAACAGTGATAGATGATAGTAGGACAATGGAAAATCCAATGGAACTTATATTAGGGAAAAAATTTAAATTGGAAGTATGGGAAGTAATTTTACAAAAAATGGCATTGAATGAAGTTGCCTGTTTTAAAGTGCATAAAAGTGTATGTTTGTAATAAGTATTTATTGTTATTTTGTATTTAACATGTAGAATATACTTTTATGGTGAATTCTGTTTTAGCTAGTGACTACATACCCTTTTGTCTCTAAGACGTTAAGAGAGGCTGGCAAGCCTCAGTCGCAGAAACGTAATCATCATTGCTGTGGCGTTACTCTTCAAAATGAAGGCATTGGTTACACTGATTTGGATGAACTTATAAAATATCCTCAAGATTTAGAATTTACAATAGGTACAAATATAAAATATCATATATTTTGTCAAAACTTAATAGCAAAAGTCTTTATATTTTTAATGATTTTCTGCATTTATTTTCCTTTCTTTGCAATATAAAAAAAAATATAGTTTTAAACAAACTTAAAATTTTATAAAACAGTAGGACTAACAAAAACTCTTGTATTTACAGAACTTATAAAAGTGGTATTCCCAAATGAATATGAGAAAGAGTCGTGGCAAATGACAGAGAATGAGAAACTGGAAAGTATTCCACATCTGAAGGAAAAGGGAAACACTTTATTCAGAGAACAAAAATATGACAATGCATCTGAAATATATGCAAAAGCTATTGGAATATTGGAACAACTCATGTTAGCGTGAGTTCTGCCTATGAAGAAATGTATTGCAGTTGAAAGAAATTTAGTTATAAAACAGACACAATATAGTTACGTCATATAATATAAATAAATTAATTTTGATTTTAGTGAGAAACCAAATGATGAAGAATGGTTAACTTTAAATCAAATGAAGATGCCATTACTTTTAAATTATGCACAATGTAAACTGTTAAATAAAGAATATTATTCAGTTATTGAACACTGTACAACAGTTCTGGAAACAGAACCAGGTATATATAATAAATACAGGATAATATTAGGTTACATAAAAGCGATATATCAATAGAATACTATTACATTTACTTTTTATTTGCAGATAATATAAAGGCCCTTTATCGAAGAGGTAAAGCATACATTGGTGCATGGGACGAAAAACATGCTATTAAAGATTTGAGAAAAGCTGCTGAAATCGACCCTTCTTTACACAATACTGTCGAAAAGGAGTTACAGGCATTTGCAGCAGCTATTAAAGAGAAAGATAGTGTACAAAAAAAGAAATTATCAAAAATGTTTAAATGAATTTGTAAAGTTTTATTTTAATATTATCATATAAAATTAATCTTTAATTTATTCACGTCAAGTAAATTTAATCAACTATATGATCCGTTTTCTTCTTTTTAAATCTGAAAAACAGATTAGTTGTTTACTAATTTTTATTATCAAATAGATAATAAAAAGTTAACAAACTAATTTGAAAACTTACCCACACAGTATGAAATATTTATGTGACTCATTTCTTGAAATATTTTCATAAAATATTTCAGAAATATTTTATAAACAATTGTAAAACATTTTAAAATATTGCATTATAATATTTCAAAAAAATATTTTAGAAATATTGTACAAATGTTATAATAACAAGAATATTTTAAAAACTGATGTCCTCTATAGACACACTTGTATTTTAAACATGTGTGTTTCATGAAAAATTTTTTTTATTTTTCAAATTTTGCAATAAAATATTTTAGAAATTTCTTTAAAATATTTTACACTCTTGAGTAATACATTAAATTTACTGTATATAGGTATAGAAGAAAAAGGAAAAAAAATTATCTGTTACCCAAATATATGTATATCTCAGTATAATATATATTATTATTACTCATATTTCGTAAAATTTTGGAAGTTATCAAACAATAAATCGATTTTATGAATGCAATTGAGAAATGAAATACACGAGTTTGCTGGTGTTTCTAAGTGGCGTGTTCACGTCCACGGTGCTAGAACTTCGTTCGAGTTCTTGTATCCCGAAATATGTAGCCAATCAATTGCAATCAACATGCAGTTTTTGCAGAAAAACGCTAAATTGATTGGTTTTACATTACTCGGTCCGAGAATTCGGACTAAATTTTAGCGTCGTGGACCCAAGACACAAATATATGAATAATGAATATTTTGCCTAATGCCTTCTATAGAAGATAAATTTGAGGTTATCGTTCATCAATCACGTTACGCAGATCCACAAGGTTGCGAAAAATCGTCGATCGAAAATCAAGAGGTGTCATGTTTGACATATGGCATAATTCGTTGTGCTACTCTTCAAATAAAGAAAACATGAATTTGATAATGTTCCTAAAGATATAATCGTGCAATAAATGTAAAGGTAAAACTCTCGACTTTATATTGATTCGTCGATGTTTTTAAATGAGATGTTATAATTAACCTATACGAGTTTGCTTTCTATTTACAATATATAATCATATTGTTCCTTAATAATAAGCTTCAAAATATGTTAAATTTCTTGCCATATATTATTTTCATATAATATAAAATTTTATAATATAGTATAAAATGTGGAAATACACATTTCTAATTCTAATAATTAATTCATAAAATTCGTAAATTTATGATGTTTTGTTTATAGAAAATATACTTTGTGTTTTTTTTTTATATTTAAGATAAAATATCTTGAGGATGAAGCTAGTATCAAGGAATGTAGATAAAGATGGAGAAGGGTAAATATATATTTTATATGTGATATATAATACAACTTTCATGATATATATACCAATGTAATTTTAAGATTAAATTTAATATAAAATTTAATGAAATCTTTAGGCGTGTATCTCTGGTTCCTGAAAATACAGAGGATATGTGGCATGCCTATAATCTCATTAGTGAAGGAGACTTTGTAAGCTGTTCTACTTTCAGGTATCTCAAGTTCAAGTTTTATATTTCTTACAATATCTTTCTTCTTTGTTTAATTTTAATATTATCTTGTTAATTTTATTTTTTACTTTTGTTTAGAAAAGTACAAATGGAATCTGCAACTGGTAGCTCTAACAGTTATAGAGTTAGAACTACTTTAACAATATGTGTAGAAAATATTGATTTTGATACACAAGCATGTGTTTTACGACTTAAAGGTAGAAACGTAGAAGAGAATAAATATGTTAAGGTAAGTAATGATAAACATTCTGCCAATTTTTATAACATATATATGATTTTACTTTACCAAAGTTGATTTCTATAAATAATGTTTGTTCATAATCTATTTCGTACTCTTTCTCTCTCTCTCTCCTCTCTCTCTCTCAAACACGGTTATAAATGTTTTATTAGCAATTTCATTTAACTCTGTTATTTTTGTGTTTGTTTTTCAATTGTTTCAGCTTGTAAATTGTTTATTTTTTAATTTTAAATGAAAATATTTATTTGTAATATTATTTGCATTATTAAAGTATTTGTGTTATATTAGCATATTAAAAGAATTGTTTCTCCTATGCATTTTGGATTATCCAAACAGGATGATACAAGATAATGGTTTCAATGATGGGATTTTGTGTCTTATTCTTCTTACATTTATATATATACTTAATGCCAATTATCGCTTTACATACTAAATTAGCAGCTAATTATTTATTATTATATTTAATTGCTTTATTTTACAGACAGGAGCATATCATACACTGGATGTTGAACAAAATCGAAAATTTAGTATTACTAAAGCTAAATGGGATTCTATTTCTTTGGAAAGAGTCGATACTGCATGTGACCCTGCACAGGTTAATGATTTTTCAAAACAAAGATTATATATTTGGCTATAATGCTTTCTTTTATTGTTTTAGAATGCTGATGTAGCTGCTGTGATTATGCAAGAAGGTATAGCACAAATTTGTTTGATAACTTCTAATATGACAATAGTTCGTGCAAAAATTGATCAAGTTATACCAAGAAAAAGGAAAGGAAACGTTTCACAACACGAAAAGGTTTGATAAACATTATGTCAACATTAAAAATGTTTTATATAGATGAGTCTAAATAATATTTCTAATTTGATATATATTTAGGGCTTGGCACGATTTTACGAGAGTATTATGCAAGGAATATTGAGACACATAAATTTTGATCTAGTGAAATGTGTTATCCTTGCCAGTCCTGGTTTTGTAAAAGATCAATTTATGGATTATATGATACAACAAGCTGTTAAATCTGATAATAAAGTTATTTTAGATAATAAAAGTAAATTTTTGCTAGTTCACGCTAGTTCGGGTTTCAAACATTCATTAAAAGGTAGCGTATAGATCTATGAAATCTGAATGAGCATAATATTTGAAAAGTGTAATTATATTATTCCAATTTATTGTTATAACAGAAGTTCTAGCTGATCCTGCTGTAATTTCCCGAATTTCCGATACCAAAGCGGCAGGAGAAGTAAGGGCTTTAGAAGCATTTTACAATACACTGCAAACGGATCCTGCTCGAGCATTTTATGGCAAGAAACATGTTGAAAAAGCTAGTGCTGCTCAAGCAATAGAAATTCTGCTTATATCAGATAAATTATTTAGGTGATTTTATTAAGCTTGTTATTATACTTATTGCAGTATTAATTTTTTAATTAATTTTATTTTATAATATTTTTTTGTACTTTTTTTGTCAAATTTTTTTGTGTTCAGATGTCAAGATGTAGCACAGAGAAAGGAATACGTTGAGCTGGTTGAAAACGTGAAAGACTCGGGTGGTGATGTCAAAATATTTTCGAGTCTGCATGTTTCGGGTGAACGTAAGTTTTATACATATAAATGATAGAAATTATTTAGTTGAAACTTTTACAAATATAAAATGCTTAATAAGGAAATTTAGTGTCCTAAATTTATTCGTAATAAAATAAAATAATCATTTTTTTTTAGAATTAGAGCAATTAACTGGGATAGCAGCTTTATTACGTTTTCCCATGCCGGAGTTGGAAGACGAAAGCGAGGATGATAGCGAGGAGGAAGAAGATTAGGATCATGATATGCTAATAATTTTGTATATATTTGTGCTGTTTGTGCAGTTAAAAATATCATATTACTAATAAAAGAAAAAATAATTTTTATTATTTATTTCCCATAAAAGTTTTGCATTTTAATTTAAATTATGATGTAAAATTGGGCGAGTTCAACACGGCAAAGCGGCTAGGTACGCTTGCTGAGCGATTGAATATGATTGGTTGGACCTATAAGTAACAATTATGTTTATTTGCTCGGCGAGCAGACTAGCCGCTTTGTATCTCTTGCATTAAATATTAATGCTTCTTCTATGTGGTTTAATATTAAAAGAACACTATTTTTGTTTAGGCGAAATCTCATTTTTAATTCAATATCGTTCAAATCATCAAAATAGCTCATGCGTTGTTTAAATCTTTTGGATCTCGACACATATCTCCCGGTAAAAAATTTTTTATGTATGAATATACATAAATAAATACATATAAATAACGGCCCGTATTCAGAACGTGCTTACAACGATGTAAGCATCGTGAGACTTTAAATTGACACACATTAAGTGCTTTAAGATATGACAATGTAGAATGGGCTTTAGATTCTGGGTGCAGTCGAGTTGCCGCTACAAACGCTTTGAAGCATTTTTTAATTGGCTAGTTAATAAAATAATTCTTAATAATAATTCTTATTAATAATTCTTTTTTCCGATTGGTCAGTTAAGTGCTTTGAAGCATTCGTAGCTGCAACTCGACCACATCCACTAACATGCTATAGTTTACATTAAGCCGGTTCTACATTAGTTGCAAGCCGATCGCAAGTTCGTTGCGATAGCCAATCTCAAGCTTGCATTTTGAAATCAATGCTTCAGATTGGCTGTCGCAACAAATGCGATTGGCATGCAACTAATGTAGAACCGGCTTTATGCTGTTTAATATAGAAATTTAGAGATAAAAGCGCGTTTTTATCAATAGTCATGGTGGAAATAACCACCATGATCAATAGTCGCGTTCAGCAGTAGTGATGCGACAACTCGTTTATTTCGAGAATCGAGTAACTCGTATTCATTTTAGTAAAGAATCGAATCTGAACTCGAGTCCGCGGACTCGAGTACGGTTTTGAGTTCTCGAGCTCAAGTTTGGACTCGAGTTGAATAATTTAAATATTAGATTAGATACAATTTAAACTCAACTAAATTAAATCTTAGTATTCGAATACCAGACCATTAAATATCCAATCAAACAGGACTTGAAAAATAACGACCTTCGATTTTATTCGTTTCATGATTCTTTGTTTCTCTGTCATGAAATACGAATAGAACGCATAAAGTACTACAAATAATACAAATCATTAAATCAGCACATAGGTTATAGGACTATATAATATTTACAATTAGGTTAGTTTTTAAGTAAAATAAACAGAAACAAATATACTTATCGATTTATCAAAAACATTCATTAGATTTATGTTAATACAAAAAACATAAGATATACATTTTATTAATATTCTTTAGCTTCTTAAAACAAAATTACCACCAAATGAGCATACCCTTGTATTTATATCATGGCTATGATAGGCCTTCTACAATAAGCCATTACCTAAGTTTTAAGTATTAAGTCATATGACTTAATGGTCAATTTCTTATATAAGAAATTGACCATTCACAGTCAATTATTCTTCTCACATTCGATTGTGAAGGCCCATGATTAGTTCACCAACGAGAGTATCGGCGAATCACTTGACTGATTTGATTCGCATTCATTCGTGGTTCGTAAATTCGGCAGTAAATGCACATTCACGCGTCAATCAATCAATCGATTCGACTCGAGTTGATCGATAATGTGAGTCTCAGTAAGTACTCGCACAATACTCGAAGCTCGAGTTGATCACAGATCGGTTCTCGAGTTGCTCGAGTATCTTTAAGAATCGAGTTTGACGAGTCCAGGACTCGACTCGTCGCATCACTATTCAGCAGACCATTCGCTCGCGAGCTGTTGAGTTCTGAAGAACCACTCGGCCGCAGCGGACTGAAGAACCATTCGGTCGGGTGCTTTCTACCGTATATTTTTGAAAGTGTTGCCGACTTTGACCGTGCTTTGTTTTGTTCTATTTGTTTGTTCGTTTTCATATTTTTTTTCGATTTCCATTGAGACGTGATCTGGCAGTATCGCCTTTCCATTATTGGGAGGCGTGGTGCCATAAGTTAGAATTACTCAATGCGTGTCCGCGGCTGAGCTCGTCTCGATTGCTCGTCATCTTGCACCCTTCGACGACTCGGGCTCTCATAACGCGCGTTATTGCGACGTGACGACGTCGTAGATGCAGGCGCCCAGATACCGGTCGAACAACGCCAATCTCGCGGGCATTGCATCATCCGTTCGTTAGACACTTAAATACGATTTTCATTTGTGACGTGACCTGGCCGTATTGACCTACCTATTATTTGGAGGCAGGAGCCATTAACTAAAGAAGAAGAAGAAGCTCGCGAGCTGTCGAATGGTGTGGATCCACTCCTGAGTGCCTGCGCTTTCTTGACTGTCTCCTGTGCTTCGTAAGCTTTCGCCTGCATCCTTGGCTTTGTGTGCCTGTCCTTTAGAGGCTTATTTTCTTCCTTTTGTGTAAGTACGCTCTTTTATGTCTATAATCCAGCCGGAATTCCTGCTATGCAGGAAGGTGCGTCTGCCTCGCCGGATCCCGGCGGCGGCATCGGTTATTAGCAACATAAGTATTAAACCGTAGACATAGTATGAATAGACGGAGTATGCTTTCCTTTTAGAGGACACACTCGACACAAACATCGTTCTATCTTTATCATTCGTTGAATGTTACGGAGTTCCGACGAACCACTCGACCGTGGCGGACGCGTCTCGACTCGAGTGTTTTCTTTTGTATATTTTTGAAGGTGTATGGCCGACTTCGACCATGCCTTGCGATTAACCGGCCTAGCGGTCCCGCGATTTTGGATGTCCCGTTCGTTCGTCCTGGCGCGCGTATTAGCGGCGTGACGACGTCGTGGACGCAGGCATCCGGTGTTCGTACGGTTCTCGCCATTTTCGCAGGTTATTGCGTCATTCGCAGATTCGCTAAGATTTTGCGTCACTCACCGCCTTGTGCGGCATTTTCGATACTGGCCGTTTTGACCCAGTTTTAAAAGGGATCTTGTGCCATTTACCAAGTTAAAGTTGAAGTTGAATGTTACGAAGGATAGAACGACGTTTGTGTCGAGTGTGTCATCTAAAAGAAAAGCATACGGAGTATGGCTGTAGTTTGGCTCATGATGTAAGAATACAAGGGCTAGATTCGGAGAGACGCTATTAGCGCTATTTGTTTCATTTTATCTTCGTCGTCCATTAGACGTGAGACAAGGACGTACAATTCGCGCAATTAATGCCTTCCAACTCTGTTTTGGCATTACGTGTTACCTTCTCGGTTATTTTCATGTTAATGGCTGTAATAGACGGACCAGCCAGCAGAATTGCGCGAATTTCTCCAACCTCTAGATTCCGTGTTCGTGACATCTCGAATGTGTGTGTTTAAAGTTTCATTGACAGTCGTAAATTTCGGTTTAAAATATATTTACATAACCAAATTTTTTATTATTTACTGCTCATAATTTATCAGATAAGTCGCCATTCTTCCTTCTTATATTTATTTAAACCTCTATAAAATTAAGAAAAAATATCTTTGTGTATTTTTTTTCTTTTGCAGAAGGAAGCAAACAAGGAAAAATTTTCAACGACTTGAATCTTTTAAGACTTTGACGGAAGAAGTTAATTGTAATGAACGGGTATCCTTTACATAGTATAATCCAAACAATATATATATTAAGAATAATAAACAATTTTAATCACTAATTTCTAGATTATAATATTTACAATTAATATTTAATCCAATAGCCATCCTTTTCAATCACTCGTTGCAAACGACTGTTCGTGGAGTTCACCAGATTGTGGAAAATTTGTGACCTCTCCCG